TTTGTTATTGTTATAATCATTAATATCATTAGAATCGTAATTTAATCAATTAAAAAAAATTATTTTACTTGTCTGGTTATTAGCCTTTTCTTCCGGTTATTTTTATTAAATATTATTGTGGTCGCAAATCATATTTTACTTAATATTTTTGTATGTGTAATGTGATGACACTTTATAAATGAAAGTCAGGACAGGGTATTTAATTATATATTTTAATTCAAAATTATAATTTAAAGAGATTACAAGAAAAATATAGTTTTTTAGTGTTTCTACTTTTAAAATTTGTTTTTTTTTTCTTTATAAAATTTTGAACACTAAGTCTATTGATGTTTTTGACTGTACCATTTATAGATATACGAATTTTTGACTCATTTTTAAAATATATTATGTATATTGTACTTCACCAAGTATGGGCAAATAAATCTGTAGAGTGTCTTTTTTATTAAGAAAAGTAAAAAGTTTTTATTCCTATTTTATGCTGGATTTGTTTAATTTAGTCATATTTATGTATTTTGTGTTTATTTTTAGTTTTATATTAGAAAATTTGTTTAGATTGACTGTACAAATGATTAAGAATGGAAAATAATTAAGATTTATTTAAGATTTAAATACACAAATTAAAATTTTTTGTATTATTTTTTAAATATTTTTTATAAAATCGAATTATTCGACATTGACTCCAATATTTCCTTATAAGTTTTATATGTGATTTGGTTACATTTTAAAAATTAGTACAACTTTTTGGATATTTTCATGAATGAATTTCAATAACTTAAATGAACGTGAAGAAAACCGTCTTTATCACATTAGTGTCAAGCAAAAGAATACTCAAAGAATATTTTTAATTTTAATTGAATTTACATGAATGTTTAATTAAGAAAAACCTACTTAAACTTTATTGCTAAGAGTAAATTATAATATTTTCTTTATTTTGCCAGTTACAATTATTCCCATTATTGGAAAGAATTTTTATATATGTAAATTAAATTCTGTGCATAACAATATAAAATTATTAATGTGTAATAATATTAATTCTTTATTATTAAATATTCTCGAAGAATTTAAGAATTTCAATTGATTTTATTCTTAAATTGTAATTTTTTAACAATAGAAGTACAAAAAATAAAGCAACATATGCTAAATACGAGTAATATTCTAAAAATTTAAAACTAACATTAATGTTAACTAAATATTATAATATAACACATATATGTACATATAAAAAGTAAAAACTAACAAAAAAAAAAACAAAATATTTTGCATAACTATATACGTAGGAAGAAAAAAGCACAAGGACTTTCATTAATCCAATTCTCTATATGATCATAAATCCAAGTCTATGCGGTATTTTCTATGATATTATCCTTGTTTATTGTATATGAGTGTGCAAAAACACATTGTGCTGTGTGACATATGAATAGTACATAGTTACGAAACATAAAAAAATATCTGAAAATTTTGTAATTTAATTCTATGTGGTGTACGTATGTGTTAAGAAGGCCAATCGTTTATTATTGTGATTTTTTTCGGTATTATTTTGAACGCCTTCCTTTATACTATTTTTTATATATTTTCTACAATTTTGCCTTACACTATATTTAAAAATTTAAAACTCTTTAATTTTAATAGAAGAAATTTGTTAATTTTTACGAATAAATTAAAATAGATAAAAAAAATTCATATTTGATTTTATAGAAAAGAAATTTTTATAAATAGTAAATTTTGAGATAGGAAAAATAAATAAGAATATTCACAGTATATTGGTTTTCTGTTGAGGCATATTTTCACGTTATTTGGAGATTCGTGCACATCTGATCGTAATATTTGCAAAAGCTGTGCCTAAAACTTCGTAAAACTTGTACTATAATTTAATATCAGTAGTATCCTAAAAGCATAAATTCACAATTAATTTATTAAATAGGCCATTATGTTTTTCCATATTTAATTCTTTGAAATCAAATTATCTGAAGAAATTCACAAAATTAAAAAAAATTTAAAAACAAATTAATGTAAAAATTAAAAAATATAAGAAACAATTTTCAAAATAGGTTTTAATTTATTCGAATTTGTCAATTACACACCGAATTTATAGCCTTACATTTCAAAGAATAAAGAATAATTATGTTTTTTAATGAAAACTAAAATTCACAATGAGAATACCAAGTATATAATTAGTTCAAAAAATCACAATGTAAATAGGGAGAACAAGAAAATATTGGCACAAATGTCCTTTTATAATCAAATTGAAATTAATGTACCATATAGCTATTTAATTCAAAAAAATTTATGAACAATAATGAAAATTATTTCAATTTTATTTTGGACATTTTAATGCTATATTGAATACTAAAAAGTCATTAAAATTATTATATAATTGTAATACATACTTTTTAGCCATTCGCATTTCATCTTAATAATTTAATTGAATTTTATTTACCAACATTAAAATATTTTTACTGACTGTATATAACATTAAAATTTTTTTAACACATTAATATTTTTTGTTCTCTAACAAGTATATTGTAAAGGTTTCTTTTTCCATTTTGTTGTTATTTATGTGTAATATTTAAGTGTTATAAATTTTGTAATGTATCGTGTATACTTATGATTCAAGTTGAAAATTATCTACACCAATTTTGATACACTGGGAATGAGTAAATGAGTTATGCCATGACGTACTGCATTAAATTTGACCGAAAAATCACTAGAATTATATTTTAACACTAATTAAATAGATAGTAAAGTTGTAAATTCTAAATTGTGTGTGTTCAAAATTGAACACAAATTTTAATTGTTTTCAAAAATATTAAATTAATATCAAAATTGTCCACATAATTAGTGTAGTCGCAAAAAAACAAGTCGTGTTATTTCCATATAGCTTCTACAGATAGCTTCTACAGGCCGGTAATTATACAAAATCAATTCACTGAAATTAGGTATTTTAAATTTATAACTTAACCATTTATATATATATCTAACCCCTTTCATTTGTATTATTTAGTATCTCAGTATTGTAAGGTCCACAGGGTGACAAAACCAAAGAAAAAAAAATATAAGGAAAAATTGTATCTTAAAATTACAGTAATAAAAGGTATCCATCATTTTGTTTTTTTTTTTATAGAGTTGTAAAATTTACGCTCTGTTGTAGAACTTAAAATGGAACTATAAAAATAAAAAAAACAAAAAGTAATATTTCTTTTATAAAGTCCATTAACAGCTTCTTATGCTTACACCGTCTATGTATGTATATATGTTATATATTTATGTTATATACATATAGGGTATAACACCATATCACTACAATTTAACTCACTGTCTAACGGTGTATGAAGGAAAATTAAATAACTCCAGTCATATAACGATAAAAGGTGTTTCAGATTTTCTTCTTTGTTATTGAGGAAACTGTTATGATTTAGAAAATAAATTGTGAAAATTGTTACATAAATTCCGACATAACAAGTTTATTCAAGTGTTATAATAAGAAATAATAAAGGTTTCAAAAATTAACATCAATTTAAAGATGAAGCCCTGAAATCTCATTATAATCACTGAACATTATTTGTCCAAGAAATATTTTCCCCATTTTACATACAGTATATGTACTTTATTACAGTTTCAACACTTTTTCCTTGTTATTTTAAAATTTGAACTAAGTTAATAGTTCCTAAGTTAGTGGCCTAGTTTCCTAAGCCACTCTGCAATTTTTGAGTATTCATTTTGAATAATTTAAAATATTTTATGTAAGAGATACTCGTTCTTTTTTGTACTTAAACTGATAAGTTCTTCAGAAACTTTTTTCCCGTCTTTTTCTCTTGGACGATATCCTAACTTGACATTACCATAATATTGACCTTTAATTTCTTTAATTTATTGTTTTTCATGGTATTTTATAAACTTGGAAAAAAAATATGGACTTTTATTTTAACTGTAAACGAAATATGAGAATATCCTTTGCAATTAAATTGCAGTAATCAACTAAGCAAATGTAAATTTCTTTTACGAAATTCCGAATTTTATAAAATTCGGTTGTAATGAGACTCAAATAATGTAATATTAAAGGTGTGGATGTGTAATGAATTTAAATTGTTTTTTAACTGCAGATTTCATAATGTCAGTAATGTTAATTTCATTATCTCTAGAGATCAAAATGCAAAGTTCACAGTATTTTTACATGTTCTTAAAGTGGCTCTTATTAGAACTTATATACATAATTTCTATACAGAAATTCGCCCTTTTTTAACAATTGAAATAAAGCATTTTTTTTTTGTTTTTTTGAGAAAACGGTTATCCTCCAGGGGAACAGATATTTATTGTTCATTTTATATTTTTCACGGTTTCACGGTTATTTAAAAATTTTACTTATCCTTTTGCATATTTCATAAATCTTAAACAAAAAAGTAAAGATGACAAATGTGAAATTTGATGGGCTTAACAACATTAACCTTGCCCAAGATAATATGAGGAAATATTTGTCAAAAATGCATTTTAGGATTAGTGCTATTGATAGATTCAGAAATATATGAAATCATATTTTATTATTTTATTTCCATGCGCTTATTAATTATTTTGTTAATATATCATTATATGTATACGAACACAATAAGGTTGATTCTAAGTAATGAAATTCTAACACTAAAAGAATATTGAAACAAATCTGTTACATATTTTAAAAAATTGCCAAGAACTGATAAATCGTGATCAAATCGTGTACGAGTATAATATAAATATAGGCATATAATATTTTGGAATCTATACCGTAAATTCTACTTATACCGATTGTTTATAACTCGTGTTGATGATTCTTGCAAGTTCAATAGATTTTCTTTAAATTCAATCGTATGTATTAGAATAAAGAAACGGGTATTGCACATTAATAAAATGAACAAAAACTGTGGAAGATAAGAGCGGATATAATATCATCACAATATAAATTTGAAAAATAGTATACACTACGTTATGTAAAGACGTTATGGAATAAAGATTTTTATTAACATAATGAATAATTTTTTCTTTACTTTATTGTATAAATAATTGCTACAAAATTTGCCCTAAAAGTAAATAATAATGATAAACTGTGACAGTTACAAAAATTTAATTTTTTTTTTGTTTTTAGGAAAAATGTTTCTTTATTTTTCTTCAAGCTAAAATTTGTGACAATTGATGCAACAACTCTGGTGACAACGATTTACTTAAACATTCCTTGACTTGATTTTTTAAATTTTCTAGTAATTGTGGTTCCAAACTTGATAACAATGATTCGTTATTAGATCCACAAACAACTCTGCATGTATTATTTTCTATTGATGGAGCATTTGTACTAACTTCAGGGTGTTCTTGTTCATCATCCGTAATTGATTCGGCGGTTGTGATTTCTTCCTGAATTTTTGGAGTAGTAGAATCATTTTCTTCGTCACTAGTTTCTATTACGGGTGTATTTTGTTCTTCATTCAAGGAATCTGTTGCAACTGTTTGTTCCTCAATTGCTGAAGTTGTTGTAGATGTTATACTGTCATTTTCATTTTCAGATTCATTAAGAGATTTGTCTTCAACTCTCAGTGTAGTACTTTCTGCATTTACGTCACTAGTGTTATCATTTTCTGTTCTTGGATTAGTTTCTTCCGTATTTAAATTAGTTTCATCTTCATTTGCACCAAGAGTGGTGACATTATCAGTTTCGTCAACGGAACTAGAAGTGGTTGAAATGCTTTCATCGTCTACTTTATGTTCGGTAGTTTCAGTGTTTTCCGTTATTGCATTTTCTTCCGTTTCTGAATTAGTATTTGCATCATGCTCATCGGTCGATCTCAAAGATGTTGAAGTACCTTCATTTTCATCCGAAGATTCGGTAATCTCTGAGTTTGCAGCTGTTGTATTTTCTTGTATTACTGATGTAGTACCAGCATCATTTTCTTCAATGGATGTGGAAGTTGTTGAGATGTCACCTCCATTATCTGATTCGGAATCGTCTGAAGTTTCAGTTTTTGTGTTTTCGTTTATTGTTGGTGTAGTGCTAACATTATCATTTTCATCAACGGATCTTAAAGAGGACGAAGTACTTTCGCTTTGATGCGCAGTTTCGCTATCCTCTGACCTTTGAGTTGTTGCATTGTCGTCTGTTATCGGTGTAGTGCTGACACTATTGTCATTAATAGGCCCTGAAGATGTTGAAATACTTTCATCCTCATTCAAAGATTCGGTAACTTCTGAGCTTTCAATGGTTGGTTTTTGTTCCGTAACTGGTGTTGTACTAATACCATTTTCGTCAATAAGCCCTGACGATGTCGATGCACTTCCATCTTCATGCGCAGATTCGGTGGCGCTTGAGCTTTCATTTCGTTCATATTCTTCGGTTGCTATGGTAGTGCTATCAATATTGTTTTCTTCAAAAGATCTTGAAGTTGTAGGACTATTTTTATTTTCATTCGGTTCGGTTTCCTCTACGCTTTTAGTTTGTTCATTTTCTTTCGTTATTTCAGTAGTATTAACACCATTTTCATCGACAGTTCTTGAAGATATTGTAGTGGTGTCATCTTGATACACAGTTGTTAAAATTTCGTCACCGGAATTTGTAGATGTTGAGGTGCTTTCATTTTCATACAAAGATTCAGTAACATTTGAATTTTCAGTTGCTGTGTTTTCTTCCGTAGTTAGAACAGTACTTACATCATATTCTTGTTTATCACCTTCTGGAACTGTTGCACTTTCGTTATTGACAGTTGTTTCTTCATTGTTATATCTTTCGTTTTCACTGCTTTCTGCATTTTCTTTTGCTTCCCCAGATATAATTTCATCTATGTCTTCAGATGGTGCTTCAGTGAAAGTTTCGGTACCTTTTGAAGTAGTTCCTTCATTTTCAGTATTGTTCTCTGTTTCAACAGAAAACTCTGGAGCTTCTGTAGTAGTGTCTTGAGCATTTTTATTAAGTCTTTGCTGCAATGAATGTATATTGTTTTCAATTTCTCCTTGTTTTTTACGAATAGAATCAATTTCATTTAAAACGCAATCTCTACGCTCTAATGGCTCGGGTTTGACTCTTTTAAGTTTTCTTTCTAAATCGAAAAATTGTTTTGGAATTTCATTCAAAAGAAGAAGCTCTCCTTGAACTTCTTTCGTGCACGTTGCAATATCTTTTAGATTATCTTGTTTTAACTGAGCGCATTGATTAATTTTGTTTATAATATTATCATAAAGTTTCAACGGTTGCTGTAGTACTTCTCTACTATTTTCAGATAATTCGTCGATATCTTTAGCAGACTCTTTTATGCAATCTCTTAAATTCCTGTTTACATCGTTAACCAAATCGGTTATATAATTCTCAATGACAGTCGAAATTTCTCTTGAGTTTTCATTTTCCTTTCTTAATTTAGCAGACCAAGTTCTCAATTCGCTCTCGTATGTTTTCAGAGCCCTGTTTCTTGCTCTTTTTAAATCAATTATTTTCGAATTCCTAACTCGCAACAGATTTAAAGCTCTGTTTTGAATATCATCAAATTTGCTCAAGAAGGCATCAGTAGCATCCTTGAGAACGGTATTGGTAGAAGATTTGATTATGTCGTTCAAAGCTTGTTTGGTTCTTTCAGAAACTTCTTTTATACTATCTGCAATATGTATTGTTATATCTCCGACAATTTTTAAATCACTACCCAAAGCTGAGGTTGTTTCGTCAGTCAACCGATCGGTAAGATGACTTCCCTTATCCCAAAGATCAAATGAATCATCTAACAATTTGTCCAATAATCCTCCACTTCTACCTGGTCTTCTGGTTGTCACGTCACGCAAAAGATCGTCAAGACGTTCTCGTAAATTTGGAGTTTTTAAACCGTCTAGCAATTCACCTAGTATAGATCGGCCACTATTTCGCGATCCTAACCCGTCTCTCAATTTTTCTGTTGGTGAATTCTTATTTCCAAGTGACCAAGAACCTGAACCATCCAGAAGTCCATTACTTCCACCTAAACTATCACGAAGTCGGTCGGTTAAGGAATTTCCGTTGCCAAGTGACCAAGAACCTGAACCATCAAAGCGTCCATTACTACCACCCCCTAAACTATCACGAAGTCGGTCGGTTAAAGAATTTCCGTTACCAAGTGACCAAGAACCTGAACCATCAAGACGTCCATTGCTTTCACCTCCTAAACTATCGCGAAGTCTGTCGGTTAAAGAATTTCCATTGCCAAGTGACCATGAGCCTGAACCTTCAAGACGACCACCATTTCTGGATTCCAAATTATCACGCAACCTGTCAGTCAGAGAATTTCCGTTTCCAAGTGACCATGAATCTGAGCTATCCAGACGTCCATTACCTGTAGAACCCAAACCGTCACGGAGTCTGTCGGTTAAAGAATTTCCATTATCTAGTGACCAAGAATTTGACCCATCAAGACGACCGCCTTTTCCAAAACCTAAACCATCAACTAGCCTGTCGGTTAGTGAATTTCCGCTTCCAACTGATCCAGAACCTGAACCACCAAGGCGACCATTGTTTCCAGATCCCAACCCATCGCGAAGTCTATCGGTTAAAGAATTCCCACTTCCAAGTGACCCAGATCGTGAACCATCGAGACGACCACTGCTTCCAGATCCCAAACCATCGCGAAGTCTATCGGTTAAAGATTTTCCACTTCCAAGTAAACCCGAACCTGAACCATCGAGACGGCCACTGCTTCCAGATCCTAAACCTTCGCGCAGTCTATCGGTTAGTGAATTTCCGCTTCCAAGTGATCCAGAAACTGAGCCATCGCGAAGTCTATCTGTTAAGGGATTTCCACTTCCAAATGATCCAGAACCTGAACCATCGAAACCGCCACTGCTTCCAGATCCTAAACCATCTCGTAGTCTATCGGTTAAAGAATTTCCACTTCCAAGTGACCCAGAAGCTGAACCATCACCAAGTCTATCTGTTAAGGAATTTCCGTTTCCACGTGATCCAGAACCTGAACCATCGAAACCGCCACTGCTTCCAGATCCTAAACCATCTCGTAGTCTATCGGTTAAAGAATTTCCACTTCCAAGTGAGCCAGAAACTGAACCATCGAGACGGCCACTGCTTCCAGATCCCAAGCCATCGCGTAGTCTATCTGTTAAGGAATTTCCACTTCCAAATGATCCAGAACCTGAACCATCGAAACCGCCACTGCTTCCAGATCCTAAACCATCTCGTAGTCTATCGGTTAAAGAATTTCCACTTCCAAGTGACCCAGAAGCTGAACCATCACCAAGTCTATCTGTTAAGGAATTTCCGCTTCCACGTGATCCAGAACCTAAACCATCAAGACGACCATTGCTTCCAGATCCTAAACCATCTCGCAATCTATCGGTTAGTGAATTTCCGCTTCCAAGTGATCCAGAAACTGAGCCATCGCGAAGTCTATCTGTTAAGGAATTTCCACTTCCAAGTGAGCCGGAAACTGAACCATCGAGACGGCCATTGCTTCCAGATCCCAAACCATCGCGAAGTCTATCGGTTAAAGAATTTCCATTTCCAAGTGATCCAGAACCTGAACCATCGAGACGACCACTGCCTCCAGATCCTAAACCATCTCGCAGTCTATCGGTTAGTGAATTTCCGCTACCAAGTGATCCAGAAACTGAACCATCGAGACGACCACTGCTTCCAGATCCTAAACCATTTCGCAGTCTATCGGTTAGTGAATTTCCGCTTCCAAGTGATCCAGAAACTGAACCATCGCGAAGTCTATCTGTTAAGGAATTTCCACTTCCAAGTGAGCCGGAAACTGAACCATCGAGACGGCCACTGCTTCCAGATCCCAAACCATCGCGAAGTCTATCGGTTAAAGAATTTCCATTTCCAAGTGATCCAGAACCTGAACCATCGAGACGACCACTGCCTCCAGATCCTAAACCATCTCGCAGTCTATCGGTTAGTGAATTTCCGCTACCAAGTGATCCAGAAACTGAACCATCGCGAAGTCTATCTGTTAAGGAATTTCCACTTCCAAGTGAGCCGGAAACTGAACCATCGAGATGGCCACTGCTTCCAGATCCCAAACCATCGCGAAGTCTATCGGTTAAAGAATTTCCATTTCCAAGTGATCCAGAACCTGAACCATCAAGACGACCACTGCCTCCAGATCCTAAACCATCTCGCAGTCTATCGGTTAGTGAATTTCCGCTACCAAGTGATCCAGAAACTGAACCATCGAGACGACCACTGCTTCCAGATCCTAAACCATCTCGCAATCTATCGGTTAGTGAATTTCCGCTTCCAAGTGATCCAGAAACTGAACCATCGAGACGACCACTGCCACCAGATCCTAAACCATCTCGCAGTCTATCGGTTAGTGAATTTCCGCTTCCAAGTGATCCAGAAACTGAACCATCGCGAAGTCCATCTGTTAAGGAATTTCCACTTCCAAGTGAGCCGGAAACTGAACCATCGAGACGGCCACTGCTTCTAGATCCCAAACCATCGCGAAGTCTATCGGTTAGTGAATTTCCGCTACCAAGTGATCCAGAAACTGAACCATCGAGGCGACCACTGCTTCCCGATCCTAAGCCATCTCGCAGTCTATCGGTTAGTGAATTTCCGCTTCCAAGTGATCCAGAAACTGAACCATCGCGAAGTCTATCTGTTAAGGAATTTCCACTTCCAAGTGAGCCGGAAACTGAACCATCGAGACGGCCACTGCTTCCAGATCCCAAACCATCGCGAAGTCTATCGGTTAAAGAATTTCTACTTCCAAGTGATCCAGAACCTAAACCTCCAAGTCGACCATTACTTCCAGATATTAAGCCATCGCGAAGTCTATCGGTTAAGGAATTTCCGTTTCCAAGTGACCATGAACTAGAGTCTGATTGTTCACTTAAACGGCCATTATGACCTGCAGACCACGAATTCCCGTTACGATTTCTGTCTGTAACTAGGCCGCTTCCACCTGTTAGAACAGAACCAGCCCCATTAATTATCCCGTCAGCTAGACGACTAGCACCATTGATTACACCCCCGGTAAAACTGGTGGCTCCATTTATAACGCTATCGCCAAGGCGGCTAGCTCCATCAATTAGTCCGCCAGTTAAAGTAGTAATTCCATTTCCGAGAATGCTTTTTCCTCCTGAGAGACGTGTTGTATCCCCTGACAACAAAGAATTTTTTCCTTCAACTACCCTATTTAAGAGACTACTTGCTGCACTGTTAGAAGTTGTTTGCTCTTTGAGTGCATCACGGATGCGATTACTATCCCTACTAAATACCAGATAACTTGTTCCTTCGCTTAAAATGTCCTGAAGATGAGCAACGTCAGATTTTAAGGAAGAAGTTTTATCTAAAGGTTCATCGTTATTTTGATTAATATTGCTGTTGGATTCCAAAAAAGAATTCGTTGATTGAATGGCTTTTATGCAATTAAGAGCCAAAATTACAGAAAGAATAAATGTAGGAAATTTCATTCTTTTTTATCGGAAATACTTTTATGACGATTTCCTCCAAAAGTGAATGTCAACTGATGTAAAAATTGAAAATGCGCATATTTTATAGGATTTTAATTTAAATATGTACATATATGATATAATTGATGATGCAATAACTGGTGAAAGTTTGTAATTAAATTTTATAATAAGTTCTTCTATTGTTTATCTAATTATTTTGCAGTCAATAATCATATTACTTTAAGTTGTAAGCAGATCAAGTGTCAGTTGAGTCAATATTAAATACAAATTTGTAACAACAAGTGATTTTATTTATTTTTTGTCTGATAAAAATGATAAAAGTTTTTCATTATTAATTTGCAAAACGTTAGGAATCATTAATTGAAAATATTATGCATGGCGTGTTTATAATAATAACAAAATTTTTGTAGGAAATTTTATACGTTTCTTGATTTTTATTTTTTAAAAAATTTAGCAGATTTATACACTAGTTTTAAAAGGTTCTATTATTTATTTTATTCATTTAAAAATTAGATATTGAATAATTCGCTGTCATTGCGGAGTTCCTAAATTATTCATTAAATGTTAAATTATTTTGGGAATTAAAACATAAGTATAAAGTGTAAAGGAAATCCTTTTATTTTGGGAAAAACATGCATCTAAGCCTCTTCTTAAATGACATTTTTAAAATTTTCGGTTTTTTCCTCTTCATCGTTTCGTTACCGGTGTTTGTGGGATTGCGTTACAATTTTAGTTAATGCAAATTATCAAAACAAGTTTTAGAATACAACAAAATCTTAATTTTTTTTAAAAAGCTTGAAAAGAGAATTTGGTTCCTGCTTCTAAATTGCTACAAGATGTTAAGGAATATTAAAAAATGTAGACAAATAAATTAGTTTTAAAACAAAAGAGGGAAAATAATATAGATATGAAAAACGTAAATATAGAAGGAGAAAAGACTCAATATTTCCAGTACGGTGGCATAAAAGCAATACTTCATTTGAATTATTGAAACTTTTAATACTTTAAGTAGAATGTTAAATAGTACAACCTTGATTTTTCTTTTAAATTGCATTATTTTTGAACAGATTAATGTTATAGGAAAAATATACAAAATTCCTATGACATGAATCTGAATTAAATCGTAAATTTCGCTAACGATCAGATCAAAACAGATGTATATTGTTCTTTACACATTGTCCAAGTAAGGGCGCGAAGCTCTCTTTACTCAGTGTTACAAAAACGAATTCATAATAACGCATAGTTGCTTGGTTACAAGGAAAGGAAAGAAAATCTAATATTATTTTTATAAGTTAAAGTCATCAGATGTAGATGAAGGTCACCGGACCATTATTTCAACAAAAATTATATTCCACATTTTGAACGACTGCTGTTATTCCAATGTTAAATCACTAAAAAGAAACAAATATCTAAGCAATACCCTTAAACAGTCTGATACGGTTAAATAATTTTATAATATGTTTTTACAAAATAAACTCTTATTAAAATGCAAATGTTATTGTTCTTTGTTCCGAATGTGTTTTAAGCCTTGAGAATATATAACACAGTTTTTTTTTTATCCTGCTTTACTCCTCTTGGGAGCATAGGGCTTTCACAAAGCTTCTCCAACGAACTCTGTTAGGGGTCATTCTTTTTTACTCCTGCCCATGTCATGTGAGCCGTGGCGATTTCTTTTTTTATTGATCTTTGCCTCGTATTCTTTGGCCGTCCAACACTTCTTCTACCCTGCGGATTCCACTCCAATACCTGTCTTGCGATGGTTTCAGGTGGGCGTCGTAATCTATGACCTACCCATCCTGATTTTTTCTTCTTTATAACCTTTGCGATTGGTTCTTGGTGGGTTAAAGCCCAGAGGTCTGTGTTGCTGATTCGTCTGGGTCAGAATACATGGCAGATGATCCTTAGGCTCCTATTTATGAATACCTGCATTTTATTTGTGTATTCATTTTTCGCTAGCCATTTTTCGAAACCATACAACAGCACCGGCTTCACACATGTGTTGAATATTCTCAGTTCTATATAACATAGTTATATAGCTTTGATGTTACATAATAAAACTATTCTTGTTTTTGAATTAAATGTTTGTTAACTGAAAGCAGACAAAGGACAAATATTGGGCTTAAGGTATTGAACGAATATTGAACGAATATGAAAACTAAAAAGAAAATGATAGATTTTTTCTCAGCTATAAATACTTTTCTTGGGTCTTTCACCTGAAAATTTGTTCATAATATTTTTGAATTTGAATTCTCAATATTATAAACCCAATAACATACAACACTTTTTTTTTGCTTTTTATCAATTTCTATTTTTTAACACTGTACAACTAATTTTGTAAGGTATTCGATTACTTTATTTAACAACAGAAAATATTATATTGTTTATTGTTTTAACTTTAAGTTGATATTTAAAGTGTTTTTGCACCAATTTTAAATCGATATCGAGCGTTAATAAAGCTGGATTGAATTTATAGGTTTAAGAATTAACTTTTCCTGAGTTTGGATCTGTATCATCAGTTCGCGTGTCATTGGTGTTATTATTCTGTTGTGCAATTTCGCTATTTGGAACGCTTGTGCTATTGTTAGTTTGTGAATTATCTTCAACATTTGTGCTATTATTAGCTGAATCAAGGTTAGTACCATTATTTGAATTGGGTTCAGCTTGCTTATTGTCTTGGGTATTGGTGCTATTATTAGCGGAATCAAGATTAGTACCATTATTTGGATTTGGTTCAGTTTGCTTATTGTCTTGGGAATTGGTGCTATTATTAGCTGAATCAGGATTAGTACCATTATTTGGATTTGGTTCAGTTTGATTGTTGTCTTGGGAATTGGTGCTATTATTAGTTGGATCAATTATGGTGCCGTTCTTGAAATCACTTCCATCAAAGTCAGCACTTTTAGTACCATTGTTAGTTGGCTCAAGTACAGTACTATTGTTTTGGTCAATTTTATCGTTTTGATTATTATTAGTTTCCTTAGTAGAATTTGTAGTAGCTTCAGTCGTATTATTTTCCTGTTTGTTGTTGCTTGGAGTGGTAGATTCTGATGTTTTATCCTCTTCATCTTTCTTTATAAGCTCGTTAATTTTATCCTCGGTCCTTCTTTTTTCTACTAACACTTCAATGCGAGTATCAGTAATGCATGGGGATCTTGATAAAGATGTTAATGAAATCCTTGACACTTGTCTCAATAAATTATTATATTTTCTTGGAAAATCAGTTAAGGTACTTGCAATTTCTTGAACTTCATTTGTACATAATAATAATTTTCTTCTTTCTCTGTAATTAATTGAGCTGCATTCTCGAATTTTAGCTGTTACTTCATCAATGATTGGGAATGTTACCTCAACGGTATTTTGAATTTCAGAAATCGTATCTTTAACAGGGTTTGTAATATTATCAGCACATTGTTGTGCCTTTTCAAGAGATTTTTCTTTAAAATCTTTAAGAATATTTTTTATTTCAGAAATTGTTTCAGGTTTTGAATTAGAAGCTTTCTTTTCTTGTTCTAATGACCACTTATCAATGTTTTTTTCAGCAGTCGACAAAGATTCATTGGCTTTTTGTTGTACCGAACGTAATTTTTGTTCAGCAGTTTCTAAAATATTTGAAGCTTGGTTTTGCAATTTTTCAACTTGAGATTTAAATGATCCAGCAGTACGTGTAATAAGACTATCTCTAACACCGGTTACAGAATTATCAACAGAATCACGTACTCTTCTAGTGATATCGTTTAACGAATTAGCACCTTGAACTATACTACCAGTAATTGTATCTGTTACTCCAGTAGCAACTGATGCTCCAAAATCAATGCCACCCCTTACGATACCAGAAGCTGTATCAATGCCACCTCTGACTATATCCTCACCAGTTCTAAAAACACCATTTACAAGATCACCAAATGATTGAGTTGCTCTTCCCAATGCATCGAAAAGGAACGGTTCGGGGTGAGCAACTACAGTATGTGTAGCAAAAACGGTAAGTAATAAAACGTATAAAAATCTCATTTTAACAAGTTTAATCAACTATGTAATATGAAATATAACTGACAATGGAAAATAATTTTCACGCCCCTTATATATCTAATATTCCCATAATTACATTTGTAATGATATAACGAAATTTTAATAAATTAACATAACAGTTGTTAATTATTCTTAAACTCTAAAAAATAGAGAGATTTAATTAGGGAAAACGGTTATTCAAGTTACGTTTATTATAAAGTGTTAAAAAGCAATGTTTAAATAATTGATATGAAAAAACGAAAACATCTGAACACACATGTTCTTTAAGTAAACATAAGTTATTTACTTTTAGTTGACATTTTGAATTTGTAATTAACATAAAAGAATATAGAGGGAAGTCACTCATAAGTTCCTTTATTAATAATAAATAGTTTTGTAATTGTTTACAAAACTCCTAATTTCCGTTGTGAACGCGTGTCACTATTAAATATTTTCGCCGAATTGAAAAGTATAGATCTTAAAACGTCATTAAAATTTTCGAAATTGTTTTCACTCTATTTTATTTTAATAAATTTTCCGACTTTTACAGTTATTTGTAAGAAATTTTACAGTAAATCAACAAAACGGCTTTATTTAATTTTGTTGCAAAATTAGTAACAAGTAACAAACTGCACATTAGAACATAATAAACTGTTGGTTGAAACTATACGCAGACTGCAATTGTTTAATGCTTAACCCAAACAATATCGTCTGGTACGTTAAGCTCTATTTATTATAATTAAAGTGAGTTCTTACATTCTTGCTCACAAAAGTCATTAACAAATAAAATTTAAAGTTATATTTACATCAAGAATTTATTTGATCTAAGAAGTTCAAGAATCTAAGCAAGTATTTTTGAGAAAATATAAAAAATATTTGTTAATAATTCATTTAAAGATGAATATTTCTACATCTATACATACATGTGTGCGTAAGAACGTCATATTAAGAAACCCTTAGCAAAAATCATTATTTGAAGCCAACTCTCAGTGAAATTCTGAATTGGTGATTTGATTAAATGCAAGAATAAGTTAAAAAATGCGTAAATGCGAGGCTGAAACACAGAAAATTGTCGCATAAGGAACTTTTTGCGGTTTTTGAGGTGTTTAATAGACATGGTTTCAAGGCATCTTTTATCCTACAATTAAAAAATTTGGAAAATTAAATATTACTGCCAATACTAAAACTCTAAATAATGGAAATTTTCAAAAAAAAAAAAAAACTAGAGTAGTTGTGTGAATAGTAACAAGGATTTTCCAATTTATTTTCTACCAATTTGAAGTGAAATTTATTTAACAAATTCTGATATTTTCTGTTTTTTTTTTTGTTTTTTATTTACATAGTTTTTTATTTAATGGACTGTAAAAAATTCTTTTCAATTTTCAAATATTTTCGCTTCATCTATTATCAAATTAAACACGGGTAGCTTTTCCTAAGATTTCGTTAGCTCTTCTGAGAATAGCATTTTTGTCAGCTACCAATTGTTTACCAATGTTAACAACACATGGTGAGTTTTGAATGGTTGAAACACCTGTACGGGCAACTTGTGCAAGTAAATTGGCATATTGTCCAACAAGTGGTTGTAAATCTTTTGCTTTAGCTGTAATTTCTTGAGCACATTGTGAAACACCTCTTAAATTACGTTGATTTAAGTTAGCGCATCGTCTAATTTGTTCTAAAACATTATCAACAACTGGTAATGAATCACGAATAGCTCCACGAATTGTATTTTGTAATTGTTGTGCTGGGGCTTGAACTGCTGCTGAACATTCATCAACGGCTCTGCTTGTTCTATCAATGAATGCATCGACAATTCTTTGAAGTTCTTCACGTGCTTCAGCTGATGCTCCACCAATTTGATCTTGTAATTGATTTATAACATCATTAACAACAACAAGAGCTCTATCTTTTTGTACCTCAACATTACGTCTGATTTCAGCGAGTTTATCTTCACCAGCAGCTAATAATCTTTCAGCTTGATCTTGTACTTGATTGACTAAATTTTGGAATGTGTTTGTAGCACTTCTTACAATGCTGCTAGTAGCACCATTTAAAGAACCTCTAATACTGTCGAAAATTGATCCTTTAATTTCGGCAATAGAACGAGAACCGTCAACAATAGCACCAGTTACACCTTGAGCAACATCTCTAGCAGATTCAAGTCCACGTCTAGCTAAATCATTACCAAGAGCAAGACCGTTGTTTGCTAAACCAGTAGCTACATCAACACCTCTTTGTGCAGCATCAAGTGCACCTCTAGTTAAACCATTAGCGAGATTAAGACCGCCTGTTACACCAGGAATTCTTCCAAAAGCTCTATTTGCAGCATCAAGTCCATTTCTGCTTAAGTTATCAGCAAGATTTAGACCATTATTTGCCAAACCATTAGCTGTATCAATTCCACGATTAGCTAAATCTGTACCTAAAGCAATACCAGTATCTGCTAATTTAGTAGCTCCATCAACAGCTCTTTGAGTTAAATCACCAAAAGTTTGTGATAAACTTGAGAGGAAAGGTTGTGGTGCAGCTACAGTAAGATGAATACCTAATAAGGCAAAAAGAAAAACTTGAACGAATTTCATTTTTTTCCGAATTAGTTTTTGATTTCTTATATTTCTATGGCGTGGAAACTGATCGGTTGAGAAAATTGAAGTGATTAGATTTCATTATTGATGATCCTTTTATACTAGATCAGAAATTATATCCCTATAATTTTTTTAATGGCTTTTGTGAACATTTCAATCATTTCTATGTCGTCTATTAAATTATGAGCATTTGAAATATTTCGATATTTTGAAATAAGTTCAAAAAAAATTTTCAATATTGAACACTTGTATAAATAAAAAATAGTTGCATCATGTAAATAATTTCATTATTATTTAAGTTAGCACAGCTGTATAATTCTTCCATATTATTTAGCAAAAAAAAATTAGAATTAATTGATTGATTCTATACATACTATATTTTCAAATTCGTTACAAAAATCTCAATCATTTATTGAAAATCTATATAGTTAGTCAAAATTCTTGTTAAGAGGAATTTCAAACTTGTCTATATTTAATAAAATAAATGTATGCATAAATGCAAATCAAGATACAATGGTCGGCTAGACACTTACATCTTTTAATATTTGCATAGTTTTTCTTTCAAAATTTTTTAATATCAAATTAACATGGAATTAAAGACATCAAACTGTTCCAATTTATTAATATTGCATTATTAGAATAGGACAACACTATTTTAACTAAATTATGTAAAACAGCTGTTTTTAAAATAATATTTGCATACACTTTTCTTTATGAACTTATTAAAGAGTCAATATTAGAAATATTTTTCGATGCATTTGCCAAATACTGTTAATAAATTCATAAATCAGAGCTTTTCCAGATTTAATAAATAATTTTGGCTACTTTTAAAAATAAGCGTTTGCTGTTTACCATTATTTAATTTTTTTTTAGAAGATTTTCACCATAAGATGTACCAGATATGGGTATAATTAAAACGAGACTAAAAATTAACATAAAGACAAGATTTTTATTATTATTTTTAATATTTAATAAGGTTCAAATTTGAACTCATACACATCTACATTAATTTATATGCTGATGAATATTACACTTACATTATGGGCACCAAATAAAACAAGTTCTAATTTCTCTATTAATATACATACAAAATTATAATATAATACTTGAATATATTCATTTATAGATTTACAAAAATATCCTTTTAATCCCATCAAAATTCTTTAATGATAATAAAAATAAAATCCAAAGAAATAACAAAAATCTTTTTACCATATTTTCACATTAGTATAATTAGTTCTTTATAACAAGTTGATTTAGTTAATTTTTGTCTTAAACTGTATTCAAACATGATAATTATATAAAAGAGAAGTCTAACACACAATATTATAAAAAGCAACAAGAATTAAAATAATGAAAAGGACAACTTTCTTCTTAATCATCTTCCTTTCTATATAATATATACAATTAATATACGAAGAAATTTACAAGGTGTACAAGTATTGGTGATATTTTTAAAGCATTTATATAAAATAATGGACTCACACGAATAAAAGAGAACTTTTTGTTGTAAAATAAGGGAAAATTTAGCAAGATAAATCACTAAATTAGGTTTAAAGGAAAAGCTGATTACAAATTTTTTCAATAAATATTTCTTTCATTAATGCAATCTTTGCCATGTGCATGAGATGCCTTTACTCTATTATACGCCACTTGTTGACACATCAAATTTCCTTGAAGCAGAATTTTGAGTTTCTAGTTTTAATATATTTCGGATTATATAAGAGAAAAATTAAAAAAATTGGACACTTTTCATATTATAAAAACTAAACTATAAAATTTGAGAGTAATGAAGAAAAAATGAAAATTTTCCAAATTATGATTTTGTTTTAGGAGTATTATCAAGTCTGAAATACCCACCCTGTACTATGTATTTAATATTATTATAATAATTATAATAATATAATAATCAAAAAAAGTTGATATGTGTGACAGGATATTAAATTTTGCGTGCATTTAAGAAATAAAAAATAATAACTATTTTTTTTTTCTATTTTATTTCTTATTTCTTTCTTCTATTATAAAAGTATGCTCCGTATATTTATTTAATCCTAGAATATATTATAGAATTTGTAAAAATGTAGAAAAAGAACAGAAATGTTAAGTTTATAATAAAAATAAATAACAAATTTCAAGGAGTTTTTATATTTTTTAAGTAAACTTCCTGATATTTTGTTTTCATATTATTTTAATGAATATACTAGCATACTTATATGCAAGTATATTTAGGTATACATTATATAACATAGATTAAATATATAAAATATTGTATAATATTATATTTTTAAATTAATTTAAATGAGGCCGAACAAGGAAATACTTTATAATACATATTTGCTTTTTTATTATAAAAATAATATTATCTTGTAAAACGTAGAGTTTTTGTCCTTTTTCCTTTAAAATATTCGAATTCCTAAC